CCCCAAAACCCCAAAACCCCAAAACCCCATCTAATATTTGTTATCGATTGCCTTTAGAAACGATTGAAAATATAATTCAATTAATAAATCTATCAATTTCTTAGATATAAATAAATACTTGAGCAAACTTATGTCCGCTATGCTTTATGAATGGAAATTAATAATTGAATCTCTCTCATTCCCTCTGATAGTCTTCATCTAACATTATAGATCTGACTAGATTATTTCTCTGAATGTTTTATTTTAGTCTAGGATATCCAATCTAAGCTAGAAAAGTTTTTTTAGCCCCAAATGCTGATAAAATGCTAAAGGGGGAATTATTACGCCTTTCATCTTGAATTTGTGGGGGTAGTGCTACACTTTAGTTCAACTATTAAGTTCTATTATTCAACCTTATATTTTCAAGTTCTATTTTGATTTCAGCGAATTCCTTATTAGGGGATTTCCTCTTCTCTTGCTTTAATTTCATAAAGTCCTCGTAAAGTTTTTGGATAATTACCTCCATTTTATGATAACCCTAGATATGACTCTTAAGGTTCATGGACTTCTAGAGCTCTTACCTCTAAGCGAAGTCATAACTTATAACCGTATTTATTTATGGCAGTTTAGGTACTTAGATAGGGATTAATATCTATTGATCTCTGTTTGGACTATTCTGAATTGTTTGATATCTGTATTGCTTTTTCTCTTTTTTATCTCTTTACATTTATTTTTAGATAAATAGCTAGTGAATGAATTGATGTAAATATACCTTGCTAACTATTAGATCCTTCTCTGTTAGCTTTAGCATTGCCTTATTTATTTATAACTCCCTCTCAACATATTCTTAAAACCTCGAAAATCTTCCAGGCAGGTATGGGCTGTTACCATTCGGAAATAAATTTCATCTTGGTTAAGATTATGATGTGGTGTTGCGAATGGGAGACTTGCTTTTTCTAAATTCCAGAGATTAATATAATACATTTTTTTTCCTTGCTTTCATTAATTCCTCAGAATCTGATTGAATAGTCTCCCTGATAAAAAAGTATTAGAAACTGACATGCTATTACTTTTATCTTGTTGTTAAAGTGGAAGATAATCTACCATTAACTGAATTTCTCTTACCCTCTATACTCTGATTCCTTAGCCGACTTAGTCTTCTCTTTTCAATCCTAGTACAATTTAATATAGGCTGAAAAATACTTGAACTATTTAACCTTTTATCTTCTTGTCAGCAATTCTTGTTAAGTTAATTCTTCAGGCTCATCATACCTAAAATATAAATACTCCATGAATAATTATATTTTAACTTTATCTTATGAATAAATTTAATATAATAACTTTGAATGCTCAATTGAAATGCTGATTTTGATAGAAGGGGTTTTGGGGTTTTGGGGTTTTGGGGTTTTGGGG